AAGGAAATAGATAAAAAATTTTGAATTTTATTAAGGTTCAAAAAAATTATAATTAGAAAAAAAAATCATAATGCCTACTAATATTCTTTAACTGTAAGTTTTGGGTAATATAAGGTGAACTCATAATTTGTGATTCTATTTATGTGCATAAATGAACTAAATAAGTACATAGGTGAAGCATTTGTCTATATTTATATTTAAATTGAAAATTAATAAATCTAAAATTTTAATACTCACTATTTAAGTATTAAAAGTCTATTTTTATTATTCAACTTATTAAGTACATGTATACTTACAGTTATACTCATATATTTATTAAATATTATAACCTTTTAATACAAATTAAAATATAATTAAACACATTACAAAACATATACTTTATTTCATATATAATAAACAAATATAAATTTCTTTAAATGCACTAGTTCAATGTGAGAGGTGTGCCTTTAAAATAGTCCTTAAAAAATCTACTTTTCTTTCTTAAATTAAAAAAAAAAATATTGTGTTAAGACAAATTCAAAAAATATATATATCCTAAAATAAAAAAATAAAAATTGGCATATATAAAATAAAGCACTACATTAATTAGCACCTTTTACCACCTTTTGTATTTGTATTCTAACTTAATTATGTATTTTATTATAAATATAAAGTCATATATTTTTCTGTATACATATTAATTTTTTGATATTTATAATTAAGATATTTTCAAACCAACTCTCTTACATCTCAATACTAATCTTTATTTGGATTATTTTAAGGACACACCTCTCACATCAAATTAGTGCATTTAAGGAAGTTTATATTTATATATTATGTATAAACTAGAGTATATATTTTGCAATAGATTTAATTATATTTTAATTTGTCTTAATAGCTTAAAATATTCAATAAGTACATAAGTATATCTGTAAGTATACTTATATTCAATGGGGTGAATAATAAGAATAAACTTTTAATACTTAAATAAATATTGAGTATTAAAATTTTATATCTATTAATTTTTAAATTAAATACAAATATAAAAAAATATTTAACT